AGTTATAGATGAAACTAATCTTCAATGGTGCACCGATGGTGAACCGTTGGTGCACCAGTTTTTTGGTGAAATTAATTAGTTTCACCTGCAACTCTAATCGGAATACAAAACTCTCGATATGCACCTCTAAATATAGCATATCGGTAGCATATCAGAAGTCTTGTATTCGATATTTACCCGATACTTATTCATTCGACCTGTTTATGACATTGGTAACAATTGGATTGAATTAATACTTTATCTCGAAATACGTAGTCAAAATAGCGCTATTTCGAGAATTTACGGTATGAGATAAAAAATAAAAAAATTAACAAATAAAAATGAATTTAAACGTAGTAATAAATAATCACAAACTTGAATAGATTATTTTTTTAAAACATCAATTAGAAGGATTTTTACATTACCAGCTGAAATTAAAAAGAACAAATATGAGATGTGCTTACCAACTTGAATATCTCGAATTTAAATAATTTTTTTTAATAAGATCGATAAATCAATAAAATCAACTGAGAAAAGTTGTCTGTTATACGTATTATAAATATTCACAAGCAAACTTGAATGGCATGAAAAAACTTTATACTCATAAATTGGCACTGGTAAGCATTACACATTTGAATAATTTGCTTTAGACAATAATTAGAAAGGTTTTTTACACTACCAACTAAAACAGCGCGAATAGTAAAAGCATTATTTAAAATTTTAAATATTCTGATGGCTCAAAAATTAACACAAAGGTATGAAAATTGAGTGGCACTGTGTAATAACAGATATTCCTGAATTTGAATAGCTACGAGTATTAAATAGAATAGGCTAACTTTATTAGCTTAATTTAAATTAATTAAAAAAAAATCATCTGGTTGTTCGTAGATCCTGGAAGAAATAGCTACTGATGAAGGTTATTTTAATACATACACTAATAATAATGTATTGGTATTAGATTAGTAATAATTAACTATTACTATATTAAAACGGTTTTCAGATTGTCGGTCGTAATATTGATAGCAATCGCATAATACACCTTTAATTCTTCTGATCCATTATTTTCCAATGTATGGTTGGAAATTAACTCTGTAATTATCATAAGTATTTCTGCCTAAAGCTTGTAATGAGTCAAAGTTTGTATCACATTCGATGCATACACGAGAAATTCATATGATTCAGTTTTGATTAAGTGCTATATATGTACTGGACGTACCTCTCGTGCGTACTATATTCATTCATTAGGAAATTCCAATAAAATGATGATAAAATTTTATGACAAACTTTCTCAAGATTTTACCAAACTTCTTGAAAGTGAATACAATTACGACACAATAATCGAAGTTGGTGAACAGCCAAATATTCAACTTTTCAAAGCACATTCTGTAGTTTTATATCAACGTTCTTTATACTTTCAATCGAAATTAACAAATACACTTAAAAAAAATGATATAATTAATGTCAAATTACCTCATATTTCTGTCAAAATATTTAATATTATTATTAAGTAAGCTATTTGTGTTTGTGTGTTATTATTATAATTATACAATTAGTGATTTCACATTTAATTTAATATTTTTTATTAGATATATTTATGGGGGTGTAATTTCTTTAGAAAACATTGATGCTTCTGGTATATTTGATCTATTGATCGCCTTTAATGAATTTAATCTTCCGGAACCTGTTGAATATCTTCAATCTTGCCTCATTGATGATAATGCATCTTGGCTTCGTCTGAATTTTTCTCGTGTTTATCAGACTAGCTTTCTTAACGAAAATTTCAAAACTTTACAGCAATTTTGTAATGATATTGTTGTAAAACACCCTAACTTGATTTTCGATTCTGATGAATTCACTACTATTCAAGAAAACGCTTTGATTTCTCTTCTAGAAAATGAGGATTTACAACTGCAAGAATCAATAATTTGGGATAAAGTTATTTTATGGGGAAAAGCTCAAACTCCCAATTTACCATCTAATTATGAGCAGTGGACTAAAGAAGATTTTAAATCTTTAAAAGCCACACTTCAAAACTGTCTTCCTCATATTAGATATTTCCAAATTCCTGGTGATTACGTCTTAGAAAAAATTCAACCTTATAAAAAAATTCTTGAAAAGAATTTATGGAATGATATTATTGCTAAATTTGTTTCTCCAGATAAGCCTATTACTTCTACAATTTTACCACCTCGCAAAAAATTGTTAAATCAACTTCCTCCTCGAAATTCTCCTGCCATTACACTATCTTCATCCATAATTACTTTAGAGCATGCTGCAGAGATCTCTTCCTGGATTGACCGACGTTCAACAATTTATGATATTTCAGAAATTCCATATGAATTCAAACTGTTGCTTAGAGGCAGCAGGGATGGCTTTGATTGTAAAATATTTCATAAATTATGCGATAATATACCTAATACAATAGTTGTTTTAAAAGTTAAAAATTCTGATGAAATACTCGGCGGATATAATCCCCTTATCTGGAAATTTACAAATAGCGGAGACGGATATATGGCGACAACAGACAGCTTTATTTTTTCTTTGAAAAATGGAAATATGAAAGAATCTATTTTTAGTCGTGTAATTAATTCATCAGAAGCAATTTATTATAGTGATCAAGATCGTGGTCCATGGTTTTATCACTTTGGAGTGAATGATAATCATTCTGGCCGTGACAAATGGCAATATTATAAAGTGAAATGGGAAGCAAAATATAAAATGAAATACAAAGCGAATTATAAAGAAAGTGTAAAGCGAAATATGAAGCAAAATATAAAGCGAAATGTGAAGCAGAATATAAAACGAAGTATGAATCGAATTATAAAACAAAATATAAAGCAAAATATAAAACAAAGCATAAAGCGAAATATAAAACAAAGTATAAAGCAAACTATAAACGAAGTATGAAGCGAAATACAAAGCAAATTATAAGAAATATATAAACGAAATATGAAGCGAATTAATAAAGAAAATAATTCGCTTTACAATATCGATAATTACTATCGTTATTGTTTATTATTAATTAATCGATGATATCATTAATGATCGTTTGGATTGATTTCCGAACAACCTGGTACACATTTCGATTTGCAATTAGAAATCAGAAACCTGACCATTAATTCTTAATTACTCCAAGAAATAAATTTTATTTCGTCTCATTTCGATTCTTTATGTAATTATAATTTCGATTTTTAAATTCCCACTTTATTCACGAAATGCGCTATTTTGAAGCTTGCTAATTTTAAAGATTTAGTGACGTAGATTGTGCAACAGTACCTATAAAAAAAATATTCCAGGAGACTGGTTCCAAGTTGAGTAAGTTAGTTGTGGGTGACAACTTAAATATCGCTATCGTATCAGTTGTTTTGGAGTTTAAATTATCGTGAATTTTCAGAATAGCGGGCAGGGACGTTATTTCGAAAATCGCCCCTAAAAATAGCATAGGTAGTTTCGAAATAACGCCCATGCGTGTCCCGAAATAACGCGCACCTCGAAGAGCAAGTATCGGGTAAATATCGGAATTAGAGTTGCAGGTGAAACTAATCTTCAACGGTGCACCGATAGTGCACCAGGTGAAACTGGTGCACCGATGGTAAAACTAGAGTTATAGATGAAACTAATCTTCAATGGTGCACCGATGGTGAACCGTTGGTGCACCAGTTTTTTGGTGAAATTAATT